GGGAGGATATTTTGGATGCTCATGATGTTCTGTAATGAAGGGCTAGTTACAGGCTGGGTAAAGCCCTTTGTACCTTTGTTAAGTGTATTATGGCATGGGAAATAATCCAGATACTGTAAACAAACATACATTTTACTTGAATGCTACAGTTAAATATAATAAAACGTGTGAAACTAAGATATCTCACAAGCATGACCTTTGGTTGACTGCAGTCTCTCTCATTTCACCATCTTTCCTCCTGGGGCTCAGCGTGAGTGTGAGGTAGCACATCCAGGCAAGCTTTTGAGTTGCATTTTTGCTGCTGAGTAACTGTGGAACATTGGCAAAAACTTTATAGAACTCAGAGACTGTTCTAATGATTAAATATGGATGGATAATCTAACATGGAGACTGAAACATTGCAAAAAGCCCATTAAATGTTAGTGTTCACCTGTAGTATTTTTCTTAGGAAGAAACACATTGTGACCATCATTTTTTATGATACTTCATACTGGAGGGCCTTTGAAAGCCAGAAGAAGAAAACAGGAAACAACCTAGGAACCTGCCACAGAGAGCCTCTGAAAGCCTCTGCCCTGCAGACTATCAAAGCAGATGCTGAGCCTGATGGCCAACTGTCGGGCAGAGTGAATGGAATTTTAGGTAAGAAGTAGGAAATAGCAAGAGCTGGAGAGGACAGGAACTCCACAAGGAGAGCAACAGAACAAGAAAATTTGAACACAGGGAACTTCCCAGAGACTCATACTCCAACCAAGGACTATTCATGGAGATAACCTAGAACCCTGACAATGCAGCCACTTCTGATGGCTGTTTAGCCAACCTGATGAGGCAAGGCAAAGCCTAACACTGATGTAGCTGACTGTAAAATGGACTGCCAGAATGGACAAATAAAGTGCATTCTGGGAAGTCTTAAGCAGCTTTCCAGAGCAAGAGGCTTCTTTCAAGTTGTAGGGCTGGAAAAGACAGTGGGAAGCAGAAGACACAGGGGCAGGTCTGAATTTTATACTTTATTTCTTTGTTTACAGCAATGATGTCCTGTCTTCAACTCCTACTGACATTATTAAAACTCTAGGGATATAGTTTTAAAATAAAGATTCAAAAAATATATAATCTAAGAAAAATGAGATTGATTCCATTTTAGAGAGTCCCTCTATGAATAAATGCCACTCTGAAACACAGACACTATGCTCACTCTCATAGGTGAAGGCTGGCTCCATTTCAAAATTAAATCAAGCTATGAGGCATATGCTTTCCAGACACGCTCAAAGCTCAGCCTGCAAGTCTCTGATGATGAGACCTCATCCTCTGTCTTCACTCTGTACTGCAATTCAAATAGCATGACTGAAGTCCAAGGCCATACTGATTGGCACCCCCACTCGTGCCGCAGTCCCCCAACCACACACCTTCACTTTCCTCTTCTGAGAAATGACATCTGTTTGGACGGATATAGGTGACCACCAACATGACACCACCTTGATGGTCACTTTGGTAGTTTACCTCCAGATTCCTTGTTTCATCCCTACACAATGTAGACATCTAGAAATGGAAAAGCCTTAATCTGTCCATGTATTTGTCTTAAAAAAAAAATCAAAATGAAAACACCCAGAGACTCCAGCATCTCGATACTTGTCAAAATGTTTGTGGTGCTGACAACAAAAATTGCATAGCTTATTTCTAAAACAACTCATCAACTGTAAACTGTACATTTAAGAACTGATTTATTAAACCTGCTAGGCAGCCAAACAAATATTGACATGATGTATCATCACAATATGCTCTCAATAACAGCTTTTACATTTCAAATGAGTTTTGCCAGACCCAGAGATTTATGCCCCAAACTGGCTCTCCATTTGTCTGCCAACCTTGGCTGTTATTTTGTATTCAACAGCAAAATCACAACTCTATGAAAAACCAGACAATAGAGCCACTAACCTTTTCAAATGATGATGGTTACAAATATGAATATTCTCACTGAAAGGGAAAATGTAAACAATAAGATTTTCAAGCCAAGTTCAACCATAGAACTGGCTGATAAACTGGGGGAAATATGGACATGATAATCAAATTCTGATGACAAAGCACAAACAGTTGCAATTTTCAAAGTTTTCATCTGTTCCTTTGCTTGGCAAAGCATTACCGGCAATTAAGTTTTGAAACCCAGTTTTGGCCATATTTGTCCTAGTCACTGTTTTATTGCTGTGAAGAGACACCATGACCACAACTCTTATATAAAGGAAGGCATTTAATTGACGCTTGCTCACAGTTTCAGAAGTTTAGTCCATTATCATCATGGTGGAGAGCATGGCAACATGCAGGAGCACAGTGCTGGAGAAGGCGCTGAGAGGTATGTCCTGATCCACAGACTGAGGGAGAGTGAAAGCGTCAGAGGATGAGAGTGAAGAGAGCTAGAGCTTAGGAGAGTCTGGGCTTGGCGCGGACTTTAGAAACCTCGAAGACTGCCCTCAAAGTGGCACACTTCTCTAACAAGGTCGCACCTAATAGTACCACTCCCTGGTGACTGAACATTCACATATATGATCCTATTATTAATATTCAACAGTGAGGGTTATTCTTATTCCAACCATGATATTGGACTTATAAAGTTTATAGTTTGAGCTGTCTAAAAACTGCTACACCAAAAAAACAAAACAAAACAAAACAAAAAAAAAAAAAAAAACAAAAACGATGCAGTGACTAAATTCCTAATTTGGCTTGGAAGCAGAGAAGTGAAGCTTTTTGGGCCATGGGTTTCCTAGTCTCACAGACTGGGGAAGTAAAGGCAGGTAAGTGTAAGAACAGCACAACAGAGGACAAAAAGCCTCTGTCACTTGGTACAGCTGCAGAACTAGACCGTGAAGCCAGCAACACCAGCTGCCCACGCACAGACACCAGTTCAGGAAGGCCTCTTGTGCAGACTGGAGAGTCTGACTGAGCGGAACCTGGGCTAGTAGTAACTATCCCAGTCACTGTAACCATTTCTGTACTTACCTTTGTGTTCAGAGGTGGTCTTGCTGCCCAGCCCAGGCTGCCCTCGAGCTTGCAGTCCTCGGGCTGGGATTACAGCAAGTGTGCCACAAGCAGCTGGACTCCATTCCGTCATTACTCCACCATGTAGTCAAAGTATTGGCATTTATTACTACACATTTCCAGCATGCTGATGAATTTGTGTTTCACTTCTTAAACGTACAATTCAATACAAATTTTGCAGAAAGCGGATATGAAGATTTCTCCAGATTATATAGGTCAAAGGCCAAAGCGCACTCTTGCTAATCCTTCCAGTATGTGGGAACCATTTAGCACCGCTTCGACAAGTTATATATTAAGTTATTCTCACACTTGAAGTTCAACAGGCTTTTACCATCTTTCTAAATTTATGTGAACAGAACTGTTGTTTGCACGTATGTGCACAAGCACAGTGTTCAGAGAGGGCAGAAGAGGGCAATGAATCCCATGGAGCTGGAGTTACAGATGGTTGTGAGCAACCACGTGGGTACTGGGAACCAAACCTTGGTCCTCTAGCCAGAGCAGTAGGCGCTCTTAAACACTGAGCCATCTGCCCAGCCCTAGTTCAACAGATTTTAAGGATAATGAGGCACACAACTTTACCTAGCTTATAAATAATAGCCTGGGGGACAGTAATGACCCAAAAATGCTCCTTTCCAGAGTATCAGGGTTTCCGGTCTACAGATGTTTGCAGTCTCTTAGGCAGCTTAAACCGTTTTTATGTGTGTGTATATTGTGTATAACTGTATTGTCATAGTGTAAATGCACAGGTCAGTTCTTCCTTTCCACCATGCATGGAACTAAGGTCATCGTAAGCAACCACCTTTATTGACTGCACCAACCCCCTTGAACTTTCAATTTACACCTTCAAATAACAACAACAAAAGTATCTATAAATACACTGATTGAACTATAAAGTATCCCAGTAGTGACGAGCTGTAAGCATGTTTTCATCTTTGGGATTCTGTCAGGCTACTCCAGAATCAAGCAGCTTAAAGGAATGCTCGAGATTCCGGGATACCCTGACCTTAGCCTGCAGTTCTGCTCTCTAGGGTGGAAAGGCCATCCTGGCGCCAACCCTTTAGCAGTGCATGCACCCAGCAGGCCTGCTTCTCATGCCTACTGAGCGAGAACCTGAGGGACGGTTTCAGAAGACTGTGCCCCTAATTTCCTAGTTTCACTTTGGACACTACCCAGGGCTGGGACTGCCCAAAGTTCTCCTCTTCTGTGTAATAGACTGACATTTGGAAATATACACTTATTTTTCAGGACTCACTTTATAACTCTGTATTAAAAAAAATAGCATTAGTAAACTGGCTCACTAGGTATACTGGTTAATAAGTCTGATAGTAAAATAAAAAGTTGCCATGGTTTACGGTATGATAAAATGTTATTTTCCTAAGGTATTAATTATTTAAGTTAAATAATTAACTTAAGACATTTAAGTTAAATACAATGCCTAAAACATTCTGTACAAAGAACTTACAGATCACATTTACTTAATTAATAACAAATTACCTCAATTTTGAGTAAATCTAATCACAAATTACCTAGACTTGGAGACTGTATTTTCAAAGAACCGATGTATTAGGTAAATCATTTTGTATTGTAGGACTGTATAAATTTTACAGACAACATGCAGATTTTTTGTGCTAAAGGCAGAAGTAAAAAATTTAATATTAAGCAAAAAATTAGGTGGCAAGTATTTAAAAATCTCTGGTTATCAGGGCCCTAGTATTATAAGGAAGAATGTTTCCTGGCACTAGACCTATAAACATAAAAACCCAGCAAACATGAGCTGGGTATTGCTACACAATTCAGGATCTGAAAACACAATCCGTAAACCTGTGAACAGTGACAATTCTTTCCTCTACTAAACTAACACAGCCCTTCAGATGCCAACCGTTAGTTTTCTTACAAACCCTGACCACCCAACAAACTAAGGCAACCCCGTAATTGTGACTATGAGGCACGAGATAAAAACTGGTCCTGGAGACATATTCTTGAGTTCAGTAAATATTTATTGAGAAGTGGCATCTCCTGCTCTAGGGAGCTCATGACAGACAGACCCCTCACCTCCAAAGAGCTCACTCAATGAAGCAGAGCTGCTCAGCTCTCAGTCACTGCCAAAATTTAATTCATCCTTCAATATGTGCCAAGACACGGATTTCCTCTGTAAGGGCAAATAAGATTTAAAATTTTTCTTTTATTGTGGGAGGGAGAATGGCTCACATTAGGGTGTCCCTAGGTCAGAGGAAGACCTTGTGGAGTTGGTTCTCTCCTTCCTTCTGGGAACTGAACTTCGGTCTGCCAAACTTTGACCTGCTGAGCCTCTTCACCAGGTTCGAGTCCTCAAAATCCTTTCTTATACAAATCTTCCTGTAGATTGCTATGGGGGACTTTGGAAACATGTATGTAGTTGCCTTCTGATCCTGTGTCCAGTACTCTTCTCCCTCATACTTCTCCAACCCTACCGCAGGCCCCTCCATGGACTTCTCCAGCGACACTGCCAGGCTTCTCACTTTCTTTGCTTTTCTGGCAAGAGCCTGCCTAGCTTTGCTTCCCTGGTTCCTTTTCCACTTGTGACTAATGTTAATAGCTTCCTTAAAGTTCCCTCTTCATTTAGGACACCCGTTAGCAAAGTGGCAGGTCTGTAAGCTTGAGGTCATCTCTGCAACAATAGTTCTGGGTGTTGCTCAAAAATAGAATCCTCAAAAAGAATGGTTTAAGGAATTCTGTCTTAAAGCTTTATGAAGACACTTATCGATGAATGTGTAATTTACCTAAGGGTGCTTCTACAGTACTGTCAATTCTCACCGTGACACACTTGATTTCCCAAGATCATACCAAATAGAAGCTATTTGGTATGCAATAGCAACTTATACACATAATGGTTGGTTCTCATAATTTAAATTTTTGGTTTTATATAAAATTTAACTGTTCACTGAAATACCTATTAACTTCATCACAAATTATATACTTTAAAATTCAAACTATGTGCCCACAGGTGAGATGCTATCAAGCCAAATGCCTCTATGATCCATTATCCTTTTAAATTTTAAAATTAGAAAATACATTCCATTCTGGATTTTTAATTTTCCAAATATCTGTGAAGACAATTAGCAGACTCATCCTCTAGTTTTGCTGTTGATGTTTGTTTTTAAAGCATAGTCCATCTGTCACAGATGTACCCTTCTCTTCTGGTGAGGCAGCAGTATCCACTGTGTGACCTGTGGTTTCGTTCCCTCCACTTAAAGGCATTTTTTCCTCCCATGAAAAAAATGAGCAGGAAGGGACCAGAGTCAACTTTCCCTGTTTTGTTGATTCTTGGTGGTTTCATTGCATCGTGAATGCCTGATTTCAATCCTACAGCAATAGCAAGTATCAGTATTTATTCTGAAAGGCTGTGTATTCCAGGAAGCATATATTAGCAGCTTCCAACTCGGTCTCTAGGAATGATTCGCAGCTCTGAGCCATGCTTCAGAAAAACATTTCCTACACAAACAAACAAAAATTCAAAGTTAGGCGTCTAAAGAGGACGAGAAACATTGTCATCCCAGCAACGGGCACACAGCAAACGAGGTATTAGGAAGGAAGGATGCCCCAGAATCCTCAGAGCTGAGGCCCATTCTTCAAAGCCCTGACCCCACTGCTCTTCTACCCTCAGAGACCAGCAAGTGCTTAAACTGTAAGACACACCAGCTAATGCAGTAAGTGACATCAATCAATGGTGCCATCAGGGTAAAGTCACTACAAGGGCACTGTGATACTCTGATACTTGGGTTTGATCACCTGGTGAGATTACAATCAAGCTCAGTAACTGGGGCATATGACTCGGTTTCAAAGGGCAACACGTGAGAGTAAGCCAGCACTCAAATTAATATATGCTAATAAAACCTTAGAGAATCAAAAAGGCAAACCCATCTACTCTCAGATCATACAGGACACTTATGTAATACAGTGCCTCACAATTTTCAATAAACAAAAATTTCAATTTAAAGTATATACTCATGATCACTGATTACGTTTAAAAAATCTCCAATTGTAAATCACTCTTCACTTTCTAGATTTCACCAGTGGCCTACAAAGACAATATAATGTTTTATAAATCAATCCTCTCAATACAATTGTTTAGAAGCTAAGTGTTGCTCAAGAATGAGGCTACATTATATTAAATAGTACACCTTCAAAGCATTCTTTAATGCTCTGAGAGCAGAAGAGCAGCCCAAAGAACACATCTGGGGAAATACAGATGTCCCACAGTTTAAGAGCACCTTTACTAAAGGTAAGACACAATCATCCCAACGGCTGGCCAGGACGTCAACGTTTTGCACTGGCTCTCGTGTGATTATAACCTTTGAGATGTCAGTGGCTGTGGCTGTTTAAAAAAAAAATGGCACTACCACCGCTTGTTGGCACTTTTTGAAGGCTAACTATGGAATTCCAGAACTGAAGCAATCCACTGGCTACTTGGAAGAGGAGGGTCTCTCAGGACCTGGCAACACAATCTCACCTTCCCAATTCTTTGTTATGCACATTAATACTTTCAATTCCTAAATTGCTACTAACCAGGCTTGTATTACTTGTAGTGAAAACCATGGAAAATTAATATATACATAAATGAAACCAATTATCAATGAGTTACAAGTAGTCTGTCGCATAAGCTCTACATAGCTGTATCTTCTGAAAAATCCAATCTAGCTGAAATAAATAAAATATTCTGTTTCAGTGGGCACACAAGCAGACACTCACCAGCAGTCTGTGCAGGGTTTATTCCTATTCCATCTGGAAAAGAAATTGTAAATTATGTGAGTTATTTCTACAGCGAAAACAATTTAATAGTAACAAGAGACTTGCCAGAAGAGTGCAGCTATGGGAACAGGTAAAGGCTAACGACTTCAGCCCCAGAACACAGACGGCAACCTTTCAGGTGAGTCACCTGAGGACACCTCCCATGAGCACATGTTTATAGGCACTGCCAGATGAGACAAGAGGTCCTAAGGGCAATGATTCCCATACTCTCTATAGACAACTGTGTTTTCAATCCTACTTTACTGCACGTAGCGAACAGTGCCATCTCTTGTTTAAGCAAGAACCACATTAGGCCATCAGTCATTTCCACTGCTGGGTGTCATACAGTCTCCAAGATGAGAGAGGCCACAAGTCATTTTGTTCATGGTCTAGTGACACTGTGAATGTTTTAAACATTGCCACTGGAGAATCTATAACTTTCCAGGAAGTTGGCCAGCTTTCTTCAGTGTGACAACATGAGAAGAAGTAAGAAGTCAAGTCATACCTAAACTACACTGAGCTACTGCACCCCACTGCTTACCCTGGGTGGGCCTACCCGCATGGGACCCTTCCCATGTACAGCATTTTATACAGAGAAGATGTACAAGGGCTCCTCTCACACCTTATTCAATGGTTTACTATCTCACAAGACCAGCACCACTGGAATTGGTACCAGTGTTTGAAGGTATTCGGATTTTTTAACTGAATATATCCAAACTGAAAAACACTGAAAGCCTGTAAACCAGTTCCTCTTCGCACAGTTAAGGTATAGAGAAGTTACATTCCTGCTTAACTTTCTATACTCTAACATGCTTTCTGACACAACATTTATATATGTAAACCTTGCCAGAAAGGAAGCTGCCTGCAGTAATAATCCAGAGGGAGAGAGAAGGACACTAGATACTGGGAAGCTTCCCAAACGAGCAGAGTTCATCACATACAGTGCCCTCCATGCAAAGTTTTCCATTAAACGTAATGTTTAGGTTCACATACACCAGGGGTTTTGGGAATTCCAGTCGCAATGTCTTCAGCACTTAAGGTTTAAGGTTAATTCTTACCATTAGTAATAATTGCACTTGTAGCTGCAGGAACTTTAAACTAAAAGGGAGAAAAGAAAAAAGAAAACAAACAAACGTCAATACATTGGCATGGAACCATGAAAGACAGAATAAGAATGGAGCACCCCTATTATCACTCTATTTTCTTCAGAGTAAGCAACAACAGGTAAAAAGCAGGGTTACCGGAGTATGTAGCACCGTGTTAGAGCCTGGGCTAGACGGTAAGCCCAGGGACTGAGTCCCAGTATTGGGGGTGGGGTAGTGGAGGAAGGAAGAACTGAGGAATTGGCTTTATGTGGTACAGTTGACTGTCGCCACCACTGTAACAGGAAGATGAAGGCTCCCAAGTCACATCCTGGTGCCACTGGCCCAGATCAACCTACACTTCCAAGTGCTGTGGCCAGAGGTGCTTTGCAAACAATCCTGATAATTCCAGGTAGAAAACTCACTTATTAAAAACTGAAAATACCAATGTGTTAAAAAAAAAAAAAAAAGAAAACAAACTAGACACTTCAAAACAATCAATTTTTACTGAAAGTACACACACATACTCTTAGTATACCCAATTCAGGTGGATATAAAAGATCACCTCTTAAAAAAAAAACAATGCCATCACAGTTTTCATCTGTTGCATTAAACAGATGTGTCAGTTTATTCATCTCACTGTTTTCTAACTAGAAGATAGATTAACTTTACCTGGGCTTGGGACTACTTTAGCATAAGCCCAGTAATGAAAGAAAGGAAATGGGCTTGGGACTTCTTTAGCATAAACCCAGTAATGAAAGAAAGGAAAAAAGGGAAGGGGAGGGACACACTACGTGAAAATACACAAGGGACAAAAGCCAGAAAAATGCTAAACACATCCATAAAGACACTGTTAGAATCATACTTACTTCTTCTGCTGCAAACTTTAGCACTGCTGTGAAAGGCGTACTTTCAGGAACACTGAGACTGCAACAAGTAAAAAAGAATTTCATAAAGTTTATTTCATCACACATGGGTAAGTTATTTTGGGGGGGGGGTTTAAGGTCAGCCATTTTTAAGGCAGCATTATGTGCACTGATGCTGAAAACACTAGAAAAATCAAGACAAGGACCCAATCTCTGTGTGAAAACCAACAATCTGCAAGCAGAGTTCTTCCTACTCTTTCTTTTGATTTATGCATTTAAGGTTTATTTTATTTTATTTTATTTTATGTGCCTGGGTTTATGTGTGTACACCCGTGTGGAGGTGCCCACAGAGGGCAAGAGGGCATCAGATCCTTTGGAACTGGAATTTCAGGCAGCTGTGAGGCATCCTGTGGGTGCTAGAAATGAAAACAGCCCTCTGCAGAAGCAGCCAATCTCTTACACACAGAGCCATGGCTCTGCCCCGGCTGATACAAAGACATGGGCTGACCTTTAACTAGATCCACTTTTTCCTCCTTTTTTAAATACAGGGTGTCAGGCTGCCCTCAAACCCAAAGAGCTCTGCTTGCCTTTGCCTCACAAATGCTGGGATCACAGGTGTGCCAGTATGCTCAGGATGAGATGGCAATCAGCAATGCCAACCTCTCCCTGGTCCTCAGTCTACCTTACTGCCTCTCTGCTAAGTATTAAAAATTAAAAAAAAAAAAAAGCCTCGATTAGAGCACAAAATCCAGATACTTCTTAAGCAGAGAAAAACCAAAAAGCCAGTATTTCTCCTTAAGCTTTTCTATTTGTCATTACATAGGCCATGAATGTCTTAATATCAACTCCTGTCACACACTATTCATGGGTCTCGGCCTGGATTTTTCTTCTGCTGTCTCTGAATATAAGAGTCACACCACATTGTACTGACTTGCAAAAGTGCAAAGGAAACTTTTTTTGTGCTAGCGTTTTCCCTTCCAAATGTCATCTAATGACTAAAGTAGGTATCTTGTTTTCCTTTCTTTTATTTCCTTTGGTGGGGGAGGGGTAATCCGTAGTATGGCATAAAATAAAACAAAATTTTCTAGTAAGCTGGGAACGAAAAGGTTTAAAAGTTTTTGGTAGTACTCAAGTAGAACAGACTACACAAGTGCACACAGCTACACATGCGCTGAGCACACCTAACACTGAAGAGTCAACAAAATTCTTTCAGCTCAAGTCGTCTGATACTCCCGTGGTCCTGACACTGGCATTGGTCCACTGTCCTTTCCCTGCTCCTCCTCCTCATTCTTCTACATCACAGTCAGGCACCGCTGAGCACAGTCCGGTACAGAGGGAGAAAACACCAACCAGAGAAAGGTGCCCCGTGAGCCTACCCTAATCCCGAGCAGAGTAAAACAGGCTTTCACAACAGTGGTTAATGCTCTTTACAGTAAAGGTAAAGATAAGGGGGATGCCATGTCTGTTGCAGTAAAGTGAGGGAACTCACCACCTCTTCTTTTGACTGCGGGGAAAAGAAGTTTTGGAAATTTTGAAACAAAACAAAAATACTTTCTGAGAATAGGAAAATGAGAAAAATTTGGGGAGCACAGTAGAGTGCCAGTCATGATTTTTTTTTTTTTTCTCATAAAAATCTTTCATGGTATTGTAATTTTTCTCCAGGAACAGAGTTAAGTACAGAGAACACAAAGGGCTGGTTTTGGAGCTGGTGTTTCACCAGGCAAAATACCCTACAGATAGGTGGCTATCAGAATCCAGGATGCTTGCAAGAGAATGATTTAAAAAGACAGACTTTCATCTGCATAAGACATGAGTGGGCGCGGCACTAAGGAGGGAAGAGCGACAGATTAAAAAACAACTGGATAAATGATTAAAAGAAGCACTATCAAAGAAATACTTCGGTAAGTTATCTGGAGGAAAGGAATGTGGCTATCTGAAAATGATAGTTTGGAGCATGAGCAGTTACTGGAGAGATGAGGGATAAGGAGGCCATTCTAGGGATAGAAAGATATGGGAACAACAGGCCGAGAAGCTGAATGAATCAGAGGCAGAAAACTTCAGAAAGTTATGACAGCTGATATCTGCTCACTAAGCTAGCCTAGGTGCCACTACACAAATTACACATAAAATCTATGGTGATCCTGGTCTTTTGCCATTTAGCATAGGTCTTCCAAGTGCATAAGAAGACCGAGATGGCTAACCCGTGACAACCATCAATTCAACTGCTCGAGCATAAGGAAGGGACCGACAAGGATACGTGGCCCTACATCCACATTTCCCAACCCTGCTGAGCACTTTTTATGAAGATCCAAATGTGTGTGACTTTGAATTCAACACCGAGGCACCCAGTTGTTGAGTCATATACACGAACGAACAAACCCTGAAGTTTAACAGTGTTAGGTTCGGACCTGTCAAGAGTCCAGACTTAGGAGTCTTCCCTAACAGCTGGCAAAGGCCTTTAAGTCAAGTAAAAGGGACTGATGTAACCATTCTCGTCCAAAGTTCTTCCCATTGCACCTGCCCAGCCAGCGCACTCCGGGGCAGGAGGGCTGGTTTCTCAGCAGCAATACTGCACCCCTCCTCCTACACCCTCCTGTCCCGCCCAGGCCCGGCCGGCTCCAGCCACGCCTGTCACTCACACTTTGTACGGTAGCCGCGGGTCGGAAGTCAGTGTGATTTTAAAGGACACCTTCGACCTGAGGACGAGAACGAGAGGGCGTTAGGGTCGGGTCGGCCGGGGGACCAAGGTCGGGACGGAAGGACGGACACTTACATGATGGATCTGCCGCACACACTCCGCGCCCAACCGCCCGCCGCGCTTCCTCGATGGCCGGGAGCAGGGGCCTTCGCGGCCCACGTCGCCCTCCAGCGCGGCTGTCCACAGAGCGCCTGAAAATTGTGCCTGCGCTCACAGGCCACAGAAGACGGCTAGCCGATAGCCAGCAATTTAGTGTGAGTGTGTATCTATCGAGATGAAGTATAAATGATAGATAAAGAAGACGCATCTACTTTTGATTGTTTACTGACACATTTTTGGTCAGGCAGTATAATAGAGGTCAAACACAGTGGCCAGGAGGTCCCCACCGGCTGGTTACGGCGGAAGTAAGGCTTGTGAGGAAGCCGGACGTGGCTTCGGAACTGGAGGCGGGACTCAAGGCTGGGCGGATGAGGAAGCCTGCAGAGTTGCTAAGCAACCTACCAGCTCGCACTGATAGGTACTAGAGAAGCTGCCCTCAGCTGCTTTAATTAACGTTATTCTTTGATCTTTCTAACGTTCCTGTTAATGCGATTTACATTCCTTATAGTTTTCTCTTCGTATTTCACAGTTCGCTACCGACTTTTAAATAATTTCAAAAAAAAAAATAAAAGTTATTACGAGAATTATTCTGAGAGACCTGTCAGGGTCCAGAAGGAAAAATCTTTATCTCAGCACCAGAACGTCTTGGAGGAAAGAATCATCAGCACATTCCAGTAGTTCTTGATATGGGCAAATAGATTTAATTCGGATACAAGGTTGCCAATTAGGTACATTTATTCAGCGTGCCTACGAACCGTGAGCACCTGTGTTCACCAGGCGCTAAACCAAAGGTTGAGGCTCCTCTGTGCATCAGACGCTAAAACAGAGGCTAAACTCACTGTCTACACCAAACCACCAAAGGCTATGACCCCAAGCTGATAAGGCACGTGGGTGGCGGTCCTTTAGAATCTACCAAACCGGTTGTATTTCTATAGCGAGTTGGGGAGTGCTGTCTCTAATCTTTATCCCAAAGTAAACACAGAGGTAAAATAAGCGTTCCGTCTGACAATAACCACGCCTTTTAAAAGAAACGCCATAGTGGGTAGATGAAACCAGAAATAGGTACTGAATCAAAGGGGCAATGCAGTGAGTCTTTAGAATCGCAGGTAGGTTCTTCAGGAGAAATACTAATAGGTAAGGAGCCCCCATGGATATATTGGAACTGCTTCTCATCTTTCTTGCAGTTCTGTAGCTAGATGGTCTCTTCTGCTTTCTCCCAAAGGTGAGAATTCTGATGCTGACTATAGTAGCACTCCAATATTCTCCTGCTGTATGCCTTGAGGAGATATAGATTGACTTGCAGATTTGGCTATCAAGAGCAGTCTCTTCTAACAGGTAAAACTACAGAGTTAATGGGCATGACTAAAGTGCTGTCTATGAAGACAAAGTGGCATGCACCTCTCTACCTACTATTTATCTACCATCTATTTAAATAACACAAAATTAGAATACAAATTTTAGTCTGTGTCTAAGAATACATATTGTATATATTCAATAAAATTTGCATTCTCTTATCTAGTTTGGTTTCCACTCAAGTGTGAAACCATGTGACAAAATGCTGAAGAGAACACTGTGTTACATCTTGTATGGAAAGGTCTCCTGGCAGTCGGGAGCCGAGGAATACCACAGAGTCACACTGCACAACGAACCTCACTGGAGAGATTTATTGGGAGTAGAGTAGGGGGTGGGAAGAACCCAGGAGGGTGGTTGTCTCTGCTAGGTCAAAAAGCATCCAAGAACTGGCCAAAATGCAGGGTTTATATAGGGTTTCCTGTTTGTGGGGGATGGGGAGAACAGAGCTTTTCAGAGTGGTCTGAAATTAGAGGGATTATGTGGCCTGATCTTTGGGAAAGCTCAGGGATGTGGGCTTTTTCTGTAGGTCTGGGCCTGGTTACTCTGCCATCTCAGGGCTGGGAATAGTAGTTAGGGCCAGGAGGGAAGTCTGAGTGGGTGCATGGTCTGTGGAGCTCCTCAAGGGCTAAAGGCCAGCCACAAGGGGTCCCAGCTGCCACAGTAGTCTAGGAGCCTGGCAGCCTAAGGTCTACAGGTGTGGAGCTTACAAGGAGCCTGTGAGCATGGCAGGGAAAGCCCTCCTGACAATCAAGTTGATGTGAGTAGCCAATAAACATAGGTTGTTCAGAGTTTCTGTTATATGTCCACAACACAGTGAAAGCAAGATTCAACCCCTAATAGTACAGACTTCAATACTCAGCTATTGATGCCCCTTCAGCAATACTGCACTGTATCAAAAGCACTCTATTTTTTCTTTCAGGTTCCAAAGACACACCTGAGGCTGGCATGTTGCAGGCAGTTTTGGAACAGATTGTGGGAGGGCATACATGAGCCTCCTTCCAACAGGCTAGACCTCTCTCCTAACCAAAGCAAGCTGCTGATTTGGCTCTCCTAAGTTATGTGTGTAGCATTTGCTTCTTCTGCCACCCTCCAAATTAGACTACAGATTCCAGAGTCTGTCTCTTCAACTGCTCCTTCACCTCCTCTAACCACCCTTCTCACCTACTTGTTAAGTGTCCTTTCTTGGTCTCTTGGGCCTCAGCTCAGAGGAGGTCTCTATTCCTCTCTTGCCCCTTTCCACCTCCTCTCATGACCTGGTTCCGTCTGGATCCTTCCAGATGTCTTTGGCTGAACTCTCCCTTATAGCTACAACAAGACTCTTCTCTGTAACAATACCTACGCGTGGTCATGGCTTCATTTTTATCCAGTTGTCAAAAGATACTGAGAAGCACCTACTTGTAGCTGCTTAGAACTCTTTCCTACTTTAATTCCTCCTGGCTGCCACCACATATTTGTATCCTCCGAAAGGCCATTTCTAGAGCCCTGTGAGTTTCCTCTTGATGCTAGAAAGGACATTCAAAGTTCTGTTCATAATATTTTGCTTATCAAGCCATTTTCAATTGGAAAATTTTATAACAGAAGAGGGACCCTCTAATTTGCTGAAAATTTAAAATCCTAAAGTAACTTTGATGAATAAAAACAGAAGCAGACTCTAAAGTGAATTTTAAGTGATGCTTAGAAAATTTAGTGTTTTAAGACAACAGACAAGCTAGGCATGGTGATACACACTTGTAATCCCAGCTCTTGCGGAGGCAGAGGCAGGCAGAGCTCTGAGTTTGAGGCCAGCCTGCTCTACAAAGCGAGTCTAGGACAGTCAAGCCTACCCAGAGAAACCCTGTCTCGAAAAACCAAGCCAAACCAAACCAAACAACAACAACAACAAAAACCCACAAAACAACAACAACAACAACAAAAAATACCAAAACCAGACAGCATAAATGGATTAATGTGTCTGGGAGAAAACCAATTAGTATCACAGAGCGCCATAAATGCCCGCAGAAGTAAACAGAGTGACTACACTACATCTCATTGAAGGCCAACAAAACATGGCAATGCTGTGTTTGTAAAAGCATAGGAAACCTTCCTTATTAGAAAAGAATCAAGGACCAGCGCTGTAGCTGTCTGGGACATGTAGAAAGCATGAGGCCCTGACTTCAGTTCCCCAGCACACACAATGGCTATGAACAACAACAACAAATGCAGGGTCAGTACGAAATCAAGTCCACATTGCTAAATAGAAGGTATGAGTAAAGTAGCTGTGAAAGGGAAATTCTAGAAGACAGTCCAAGCCCTGTTCCTGTTTGTGCAACCTGACGAGCTATACTGAAACCCTGGCCCCAGTTTTCATGATAAAGCTAGTAGGTTTGCTCTCCCTACAAAATAAGCCAATTCAGGCCAAATTAAAGAAAAAAAAAAAGGCAGGTTTATTCAGAGTAGCTCAGGGACTGATTCATTGGTCTCAGAGAAGGAGTTCAAGGAAATTGCCATGCAGACAGAGAAGGGAGGCAGAGAAAGAGAGCATGCACATGCAGGGAGAGAGATGCAGAGAGAGAGAGAGAGAGAGAGAGAGAGGGAGAGAAAGAGAAAGCACCAAAATGTCTGGGAAAAATCTCTGACAGAGGGAAAGCCTGGCCTCTGGGCTGGAGAGTGGGATATGCCAGCCACACCCTATAATAGGGGTGCTGAAAGAACCTGGAGCCCAGGTCTGCTTTGATACATTAAATAGGCACGTCATCTGCTTGTCTCCCTCTGAAGCCCAAAAGCTTCAATTAAAGAAAGAGGTAGGGAGAGAGAAAATCTTCAGTGATTGACAGCCATAACAATCATGGGACCTGGAACAGGAAATTTTTGGGATGGAAGATCCTATTACAGGTCAGTTCTTCTGCTGTTTCAGTGTCAAATACCCACAGAGGCTGGTATGCTGGTCTTATCAGGAGGGCCAGATGTTCTGCGTGGGGGATTCCTTACCATACCATCCTTTTGAGAGACCAAGGAATTAAAAATTCGTTTTTATGTTATTGGATTAAAGTTTAACACACAAAGACCAGACACGTCCAGCCACCTGCGGGGAGGAACCAGCCATACTGCATTCCTTCCTGCCCACTAGAGATAGAGTTGCTAGGAAACCGGCCCAGATCACCCCTCTCCCCTAGCAACATCCAAACAAAGGAAGCCAGGTTTTGGCACCTTCCCACAGCCAATCAGTTTAAAATGCAACATCCCCTTTTATGTTTCAACCAATAGACACTTGCCAGGCTGAAATTTCCCTGCTTTAGGTATGCTGGGAGGGACTGGGACCTATAAATCACCCTCTTCTCCCTGAGCTCAGGCTCTACTCCCAACCACTGAGTGGGTGAGGGTGTGGGCCCTAGATGGAGCTTGTAATAAAAAGACCCTACCACGTTTGCATCAGAATCGGCTCTTTGGTGGTCTTTGTGGTCCATCAGATTTGGGCATAACATTTTGGACTTATTTTTCAGAGCTTTCTGGATCCTGGTAATTCACAGGTGTTCTCAGTTAAGTCAACTCTCTTGTCCAGAGTTTCTCAGCCTATCTGAGGCTTTTAGGTCATTAACTCTTAATACTCAATAGTTTTCTCCCCTCAATAATCCACTGAAACTCATTGGGATAGAATAATAATTCAAAGTTCATCAAAACCTACCTTTCTATCAGTTATGTAAATTACTGAGAACCAATAGTCTTCCAGAGACCAGGATCTCTTACCTGGGAAAGG